GGGGCTTTGTTTAAAAACGTATTTATAAAATACTGATCATCAGCTTCAAATTCAAATATTGAAAATTGATTGGCTCAAGAGCTAAACACTGTCTACACCCATAATAAGTGCATGCCATCACATGACATAGCAACTTCGACCACCATGCACTTAAAATGAGGTGCTTCTTGATTGGACAATGTGAACTACATTGTATCTCCTTAATTTTATTAGAACTAACGATGATATCACAATACAATTTTATGGATTAGTCAATTTGGATTCTAACATCCATTTTGATTTATAAAAATGTATACCGATATTGATAAAATGCTTAACGACCATAGCTTTATGCCCTTCACTATAGTGAAAAATGAAATTTCTATTTTGCAAGCAAAGTATGCATAAAAAACAAAAAAAATCAGGGCCACTGCATTTTATTTTGTGCCTCAAGTTACCCACACAGTGGTATACAATTTTTTTTTTTCTGGAAGACTGACCTTACCAGCAGTCAACAGCTGGCTCAACTGACTCTGTGGGTTTCATTTTGACTCAAGATTCCTACAATACGTCCTGTTAGAGGGCATAATGTACATTACAATAAACACAACAACATAGTAAATTGTAATAGTGGATTTTCTCACAGTTATGTTCTGGTTATCCACAACATCAAAAGAAGTAAATGAACAAATTCATTTTTGTGTACAGTACAATGAGTTGCAACAACATTATTTTTCTATTCACGTATCACAATGCCATGAATTCATATTAGTAAAAAAATAAAAAAATATTAAATATTCCCTGCAAAGTTTTGTTTTAATTAAAACAAAGTAAATAAATTATATGAGTTATTTTATTTCATGTGACAAAAGTTGACTTTACAGCAGGGCTGAGATGAAATAATCATGAAAAACTATCAATTCTTGCAACATTGCAATACTTAAAGCAACATTATTCCCAGCGATGTTAGCATTCAGTCGTTGTAAATCAAAAGTCATTATATCTTATAGGGGCTCTGAAGTTAGACACAAACAAATAATTCCTAGAATTTGGGACAATTTAGATAGTACCATGGTTAAATTTCAGGATATTGACGTACGCCCTCTACGAACAGTACCACAAACATCATATACATGTATTTATTACACTAGTACGGTACTTCAGAGACCACAAATGAAGTTTTAGTAATAATGTTTCCTAACGCATCTGTCCAACGCTCGTATGATATTTTGTAACTTGTCAAACAATGCTACTTTATTTTACAAATTAGAATATTTGGAGTTATAACAACAATGACATTA